TTTTTTTATTGGAAAGGATATACTTACGGATTAGTCCTAAAGAAATTTTATCAAAATCAGTTCAAAGGTTTAGAGTTTTTAATCCAAAATTTATCCGGCTTTGTCATAATTGAAGTAGGTTTTTTTGTGGGACACAATCTTAATCATTTATTACGGCAATTTTCAGGACAAGGTTTGTTTAAAAAAAAATCCAATTTCTTCATTAGTACACTCATGGGAAGCGGAGACCGTCACTAGACTATTGGCAAAACCCTCCAATAGGAGGTGGATCCTATATTCAGCAGTGGACAGTTAACGGCTGATATGATGATTATAATATTTTTTTTTATACAACTTAGAATGGCAAATAAGCTGACGGCCCGCCTGATAGAAAGTGGTAACCGTCGCCTATAGACATGAGCAGTACCATGGACATAACAGAGTATACTGTTTCGCCCATGATACCCCCCATGCGTTGCCATTCCTGAGGACTCAGGTGTTATTCCTCCGTATCCAGTAAATTCACGCCATATCCCACCCTTCAAACCGAAACAAAGCCATGCAAACACAACTGCTTCACACACACAGAAACACAACTCATTATATATCTTTACAGAGAAGAATAGAGGAAATTTAGAAAAGTAAATCTTACATTATTCTGATGGAGAAATGAACTCAGGATTTCGTGTAGGTACGTAAAAAATTTACTTATATTACTGCTTCATAGAGATTATCTATTGTCGTTGATACCTAATATGTATGATAGTCTTTATTATCACTAATAATATTAAAAAAAAAAACAACAATATAAAAGAAAAAAAACAATCATTTTTCTGGTTATAAGAGCTGCCTCAGCTGTTGCTTTATATGCACACGTCCAGCGAGATGCGTGCGTACCTATTTACGCACCTTTGTACGCACCCCAACGCTGCATGCGATTGCGTGCTTGTCGATTACTATCGGCACCGCCCGCGCCGGTTCGCACCTGTACTGCTCAGTTTGCTCCCACTTATTAGGCTATTTTTTTTGATGGGTGAAAATAGTATGGTAACCCCGCCTGCACTAACGGGATACGCTGGCGGAGCACCAGTGAAGGGTGATCGATGAGAATGAAAACAGGCCAGTTAGCCCATCATGATGAATTCATCAGGAACTAACCATGATAGTTTCCAGGGAGAACCGCGAGGAGGTCGACCTGGTTGGGTATATTGCTAGCAATAAGATTCTCAGTCTCCATTACTAACAATCCCTTTCCCCCCAAATTATTAGGCTATTTCTCTGCTCAATTCTCTGATTGCTCAGCAGCCAGATATTGATATATTTAATGACAATATAGATATATTTTTTTAATGTTGTTTAAAATTTTAAAGTTTGTAAAATAAACCTATGGCTACTACACTACACGTTTTGGGATACTGTAAGTGTGGTGAGTAATTTATAAATAAATAAATATAGCGCTGATTTTCAGATGGCCCCTTAACTCATTTAGCTTTAGCATGCGTACGGGTCGTCAACACCCATTTCTCGAATGGGAGATTCAATACATTTAACAATAAATAAATAAAAAAATATAACCAACTAAAACTAACAAAAAAAGAACACACTCTGCATACAATATAGAGCGGGTGATACCTAGAGCAAGATAGATACGCTAAAGTGTTACCAAGACAAAATATCTTCCCGTATCAGTCGGTATGCACCAGCCCTAAAAACCATAATTGCGTCGAGTCCATTGTACGACGCCTTACGATCACGCCACGTCTAATCTGACTACCAGATCACGTCTTAACTAGTTAATCTACTCGGATTTGTCTAACCGTACAATCAGGAATTCAACAACAAATCTTGAGTTTTAGCAATTAGCATGTAAATTTGCGAAGTTCGCGAAATAATTTAAAGCGGTGAATTCAAAACAATTTATATGTTAATCCAGTAGGTATGGACTGCACAGTGGATTAGGTACTCTTGACAGTACGACACGAGTCGCGGCACAGCGCGAGTGGGTTATTATAGGTAAATACTAAGGTAAATACATACCATGGATGACATGATTCTATAGTATTATGTGTAATTCGTGTTGGTGAATTGTACCGAGATAAACCTATTACATTTTTATTTTGACACACGGGAATGAAACTAATTGAGATAAAATTAAAAAAAAATAGGCTTTAAAATGAGAATGAAATCATCTCATCATGTGTATACCATCATTACTACATAGTATAAAACAAAGTCGCTTCCCGTCTGTCTGTCCCTATGTATGCTTAGATCTTTAAAACTACGCAATGGATTTTAATACGGTTTTTTTAATAGATTGAGTGGTTTAAGAGGAAGGTTTATATGTTTTTTTTTTATACAAGTCTTCGCCTATAGACATGAGCAGTACCATGGACATAACAGAGTATACTGTTTCGCCCATGATCCCCCCATGCGTTGGCAATGCATGAGGGGTATCATGGGCGAATTATTAAATTATTAAATATTCCTGAGGACTCAGGTGTTATTCTTCTGTACTCTGTAAATTCACGCCATATCCGATCCTTATATTTATAGTATTTTAAATAATTTCATGCCTAATAAAATTGAATAAACAACCTAGGTTTTATCAGAAGGTTGAAATTCACTGGCCTAGCAAGACATTTGTGAATATGCTGAATCAGAATCGATTAACGAGTTTCCAATTGATTCACTGCGGAATCTTGGTGAGTGAGATTCTCAAAGTTTGCGCTACTTAATGTTCTATTGATTGTATTGCGTTTGATTGCATTCAATAGGTTTGTAAATCCATTGAACGTCAATTATAATTGTTGAAATCGAAGGCAGTATCTATCTACTTATCTTTATACCACTTGTAATGCGCATTGTAGTCATTCGTTGCCATTCTTAAAGTCTATGGTGTTATCTCTCCATAACTTGAAAACCTGTAATTTTATTTAGCTTATAAACGAATGGAATGGCAACGCATGGGGATCATGGCTGAAATATACTCTGTTATGTCCATGGTACTGCTCATGTCTATAGGCGACGGTTACCCATTTTCCATCAGGTGGGCCGTCAGCTCATTTACCATTCTAAGTAGCATAAAAAAAAATAACTGAAATAGATATGTAGCTGTTTCAGAAATGTAAAATAAATGTTGTAGTAACACGAATTTATGACTTTATATGTCTATTTGATAAATTAATGAAAATACGTCACATACATATATATGTAGAAATTTATTCATTTCTAAAGTTGCACTATAATATTTGTTCGCGACATTATTTGTATATATGTAATCGTAATTTGTAGTTGTTAAGTCCCTAGTTTAATCGTTTGTATACTGTTATTTTATATAGATTTACATAGATTTAAGATACCTATAGTGTAAGTCAAATAAAGCATTCTTTACGTGTTGTAATTATTACCTACGAATAGAAATAGAAATTGTAACAATAAATAGAACTAAGAAATTGTAAATTGTAATAAATAAATAGACGCTATAGGGTACCGATCTGAAGAGACACGCGTCTCGTTCACTCTCACCCCGTCCCGCTCGCACAGATTCGCTAACGCGAGTTGGAAATGTTATCGTGCGAGCGGGCGGGTATAAAGATAGGCCGCCTCCCGTCGAGCGGCACCATTAAGCAGTACATGAAGGAAGCGTCTCGACGCTACTTCGCTGCGACCGAATCCCACCCGAACCCGCTGATAGTCAAGGCGGGCTCGTACACCCCGAGAGTGAACGTCACATTTAGACGTCGTCGCCCGAGGCACGCACTCTTAGACCCCGACGATTCCATAACTAAGGCAAACGCGTCCTCCCCAACTACCGCGGAACTCTCGTCCCTTGGGCCCGCAACCATCACACCAACACACCGCACACACCGTCCCCGCCGGCGGGGGCGAAGACTCATAACACCCGGTTCGCGCTCGCGGAATATTCGCTATACGCCCGAAAGTGCGCCGTCCGCGGCGTCTCCTCGTTCCCCCGATCGCTCCACCGACCCACCGTCCCTCGACGGGGGTCGAAGTGCGGCGGCCCGAGCCGAGGTTCGAGCCACTTAGGCGCCCTCGGGCGCACGCCGCAGTCCATTAGAAAGAGTCGACACCTCTGTCGCTCCCCTCTCGCGGGCTTGGAGTGCCATCCGCACTCGCCCCTGCACACACGCGTTCGGTGAAGTTGTAAAGGCCATCTGCGGCCAACAACACTTACAGTTAGAAAAAGAAAGAAAGAAGAAAAGTCGAGCGGCATTCGCTTCCGAGCAGCGACACACTACACTCGAGAAGAAATAGGACAAGAAGAAAAATACTCTCTTCAGACGGTACCGGAGGCTTCAGAATAGTAATCGCTGTGTTTCACTCCAGCCTGAACCAACGCCCCTACAGTCCACGCTCACCGAACGGCAGTCCACACCGTTCAATATTTAATAAACATTACCCCTTAACCCTTCTTTGCATAATGGTGGAAATTTCCATCATAACATTGAATGCCTAAAAATTATATAAAAGAACAAGTTGACTTTAAGTTGATCGTGTCTAGATACCTTTTTAATGTCCATTGCAGGAAAAAAATACATAGCTGTCAAATTTATTTTTTTAACCATTTTTCTTTAATTTTGAACATGAATTATACCATCTTCATTTATTTCACCGATAAAAAGAAATCATGCAAAGAAGGGTTAATATGTTTATTTGCTGCGTAAACGTTACATTTTAAATTATAATTTCTAACAAAATATGTCAATAATAAAGATACAAACTCATCTAATATGACTAAATAAAACTGCCCTGACCCTAGCGATGGTAGATTAATTATACCATCTTCATTTATTTCACCAATAAAAAAAAGTCGTGTAAAGAAGGGTTAAATTGAAATTTTATGGTACTATGATTTGTATTTCATGATGATGGAGGAGCGTGATCTTCTCATACAGGTGATAACACTTGTTCAAAATTAACCTTTTTATATACGTTGACAATTGTAGTTTTTTTTATAAAAAAAGAAAATTTGAAAACAATTGAAATAAAACAAAAATACATACAATACATCAAGTCAACAGACGGCAATTTTATTTCGGCTCGAAGGCTCGAAAGACCACTAATTGTATTTGTAAAATATACTGGTCCTTGTTATTATAACACTTACTAGAAGGTCACAACAACGATCTTAGTATTGTACCAATTTTTTTATGTAATATATATTTTAAATTTTTTCTAAAGTGTCACTTCAATTAGTTTCGCTCAGTAAAGTGTAGAAGCTGTAACTTGCACGTAGAATCTGAAAATAGTAAAATAAAATAATTTGATTATGATATCTGACGGGACAGCGCGGCGAGGACAAATTTGAAATGAAGTTTCTTGTATGCAAAATTCGAGCTTTTTACTCTGTACCATAGACATTATATAAAAATGTAATAATTACATATTGTGCCTAACACAAAAAAAAAAAGAAACCAATTTCAGTTGTGTGACAAAACTAGCTATTATGATTTAAAAACTACTAAACCGATTTGGATAAAATTACTAAGGAACCAATCTGTAAGTATATCCTATCAGATAAAGAAAACTATTTCCATATCAGTTTAAAATTGAATGAGTTACTAGGTAACATACATAAAAAAAATACAGTGGATTTGGGAACCTCTTTTTTTTAAGTCGGTGGAAACTGGCATGATACAGGGCCAGTAATGACACTTATTAATACAGTGACATCATATCTTTTTTTTAGGATGATAATGGAATGATTAACCCGCCTGTGTTATCGGTATATACTGGCGAAGCACCAGTGAAGATGAAAAGGCAGGCTAGTTACGTCGTGACGAATTCAACGGTAAATTAGTCACGATGGTTTCCAGTAGGAACCGCGTGGAGGTCGATCTGGTAGAGTATATTGATAGAAATGGGGACTAACCTCCCCATTACTATCAATATACCCAACAATCCCTCCTACCTGTGACGTCGTATTATCTTACAGCATATTTACTGCATGTTACAATTACGTACGACAGTGCTTCTGACTACCTGCCTTTGGGATTAAAGTCATAGGCTACATTTTTAAGCGACTTTCAAAAGTAAACTTTCTGTTCATCCTCATTATTTTTAACAATTTTGAACGAACTTTTGCAATGATTTTTATAGTCCCATACTAATTTTATGACAATGATAGCAAACATTTTTCAAAAATTTCAAATTACAAGTAATATTCTGTAAATCAAATAATCATTATCAAAATTTATCTTCACACCAAGTCCGCTATGGAGTAAGCAGAGAGAACTGAGTGCCAAATACCTCTGTTTTTGCATATATCTCTTGCTTCTTGCGTTTGATCATAATAGGGTAGTTTAGGTGATATTTAGATGTATGCAAAAACAGAGGTATTTGGCATATATAGCATATCGTCATGATATCAGTCCCAATTCTAGCAAAATACCCTATCAGGGCAACCTCCATGTGGAATCCGTCGTGCTGAATTCCAGGTGTATTCATCATAATGAACTAACTGACTTGTTTTTTCATTCTTATCATCCACTATTGGTGCCCCACCAGCGTATATCGATAGCGCTGTTATGATCCATAAAAAAAAGCTATAGTTGTATGTCATTTCTCATTTTAACATTATGTAAATACAAACATTTTCAATGCAAAGTATTATATCTACGTAACGTCTCGTCGCTCATAGGTGTGCGTGTCACGATGGAAGTAATTTTTTTGCGAGAAAAAATGTTCTTGTTCTATAATATAAGGTTAAAAGTAAAAGAAAAAACCGAGTACATACGAAGTATATGTTTTAACAATACATAATATATTATTATATTAATATATAATAATGATATCATCTATAAGGTTCAGTTAATAGTGTATTATAATAAATAAATAAATAAATGTTAGTTATATATTCTGATTATTCCTGATTTTTGAGGGCTACCTATCGAGTGGTGGTCCCATTGAAAATCAGCGCTGCAGCGCCACGCTGCAGCTTAAGCTGAGTAGGGACCATTTTAGCTGCTACTAGAAAATTATTATTTTAATGTATAAAGTTTCCATTAACGTTTGTACGTTTTGTAGCTGAATAAATGATTTATTTAGCTACGACTAGGTGTCGTATCGTTTGGGAGGTCCAGGATATAGCCTGGGATAGAACTGGCTGGAAGAAGATGCATGAATTAGTTGCACTAATAAGAGGAAACTCTTAAATGGAAAGAGAAAGAAATTATTTACTATTATTAAGTTTAAATAAAAGCATTAAAGAATATTTAGGTATCTCTCTATACATTTAGTATCTACTTACTGCGATGAAAGTGGACAGTGACATCACATTGAAAAGTCCAGCTTTGAAAACTAATATCTTCGTTGTGGTAACTCCAAGCAAGGCCACTTCTTTCTGCAGTCTCTTATCAGAACACACCCAATCGCTCTCGAATATTCCATAGCTTACTAGTTTACTCTGAAATTATGATTTAAGCAATTAGTAGAATGTTTCTATTACCTACTACTGTTAAAAGGGGCGAGAGGGGGGGGGGGGGGGTTGTTAGTAATGCAGACTTCCAGTTCCATTGTTAGTAATACACCCTGTTTGGTCGATCTCCACATGGTCCTTGAAAACCATCGTGCTGAACTCCAGGTATATTTATCAGGATAAGCTAATTGACCTGTCTTTTAATTCTCACCTATCATGCCACACTGGTGTCCCGCCAGCATATACCATTTCTTCTTTTTAATGAATGATAATAAAATGGTAACCCCGTCTGCGCTAACGGTATACGATTGCTCTCGTGTTTTTGTTGCCAAGTAGATCTATTTGCATGGCTGTGTTTCGGTTTGAAGGGTGGAATATGGCAGTGAAATTACAAGGCTTAACACAAGAGGGAGACTTTGTACAAAAGTCGTTTGCTTGAGTACCTCTGTCCCATTCGTGTTTCAACCGTAAAGCAGTTGTGTTTGCATGGCTGTGTTTCGGTTTGAAGGGTGGGATATGGCGTGAATTTACTGGGTACAGAGGAATAACACCTGAGTCCTCAGGAATGGCAACGAATGGGGGGTATAATGGGTGAAATAGTATACTCTGTTATGTCCATGGTACTGCTCATGTCTATAGGCGACGGTTACCACTTTCCATCAGGTGGGCCGTCAGCTTATTTTAAGTTGTATAAAAACCGTTAAATCTAATGGAAATAAAAATAATTATGTACCTCTTCGGTGACTTCATTGGCATGCCAATAGAACAGAAGCAGCTGAATCAGGCAGGCGACTACGAAAACGCAGCTGGAAATTAATGTCCCTAAATCGTCTTCTATCTGAAATTTTTATTGTTTTATTCGCCGGTAATATTTTTGCAAGAGGATACTTATCTAAATGTATGTGCGCGTATATTTGTTTTTTTCCCCTACAGAATCATCCAAGACCCTGTCATTTTGGGGCCGAAGTCGCTAATGGGAAACGTCACACATCGGTATAAATATGGTGAATTTGCTTGTTTTAATTTAACTTTAATTTTGAATATTATATTTAATTATAATTTGAGCACGTATATGTGTATACCATAGATTTATAAATGTAATATCTATGGTGTTGGTACTCTTACAAGTTGTGTTCGCTGATTTTCTGCGTGATTGGGATCTCATTAAATGATCATTATAAAAAGTAGCTCATCTCAGCAGTTTCTTCAAATACTACATATAATATACTAGTTCTTATATGTTTTGTATATTACCATGACTACGTTTTAAGAAAAGATCTTTTTTCAAGTGATGGGATCAAGTTTTCATATAGGCACCTAGTGTCCTGTCAGAAAACAGGGCGATAATAGGTAAAAGCAACTTAAAATACTTTTTTTTTATTTTCATATAGCACGGTACAGAGTGCATCCACCAAAAACAAAGTTTGGGAAAGTGCATTTTAGTGAAGGGAGTTTTTGGACGACGGAATTTAGGATGAGGATCAGAAAAGTTGAATAATGGATAATATAAGGAAAAGGACAGATAGCTGAATAGAAATTACAATATATTTAACCTTAAAAATATATTTACTAGTAAAGTAAATTATTTTTAATATTATTAATTAGTTTGCTATTACATTTTTAATCAACATCAAAAAGAGGTTTATAATTCTATTGTATGTTTTTATTCTATTTTATGCGTGCCTATGTTACGAGATATCTCCGCTAATCGTGAAGCGATTTTGACGATTCTTCTTTAATAAAAAAAGTTTACTCCTATATCTTCTCAAAATTAATGTATGTACAATTACCTACTTATTTTTTTATTCTAGTTTTTACCTGAGCGATTTGAATGATGCAGACTCCTAAATTCACTGAGATGACAATTAAATAAATAAACATGGCTGGTGATATTAAAGAGTTGAAAATCTTCTGGTACCTATAAAAGAAAAAAATTCTTTGATAAGTTTAGTAGATACAATAAGAACAATATACGTAATTAATAAGTGCCATAGAATAATGCGCCGTCTGGGTTTTAAGCTAAGTTTATTTTATAAGTAGTCAGCTAATTTACCCAGATATATTGTTTGAAGGCACAATCCAATCTCGAGTGAATTTAATAAAGTTTAGTTTCTAAACTAGGCCGACTAATTATTATTTTTTCTTGTTTTCACATTCTTAATCTTATTTTGTTAAATTAACAAAAAATTGTAATGATTAGGAACTGTTTTATACATTTCTTACGCACGAATGGCAGAACTTCAAGATAACATAAAATAAAATGCGTATATTACCAAAAGAAATCATAAAAACTTAGAACGTAGATATAATTTGAGGTTGTTTTATGAAAAGTTTAAATTAGGTACTATTAGTCCCCAAACTAGGTCAGACTTGTATCTCGGGGGCTAGGAGTGCGGTTACCAAATGTTTTAGTACATTATCTGAGATAGCAGATAATAAAATATGTAGGTACTTAGACACTGTCGACTACGTCAATGTTTTAGCTATTATAATACAGTCCATGTGGAACATACGAGTAGAGCTAATAAAGGAACTGTGAAACTGTGAATCTTTGAGATACTATTATGATCAACTATGCAAATGTTAACTATGCAAAAGATCCTTACTTTATCAAATCTGTGTACAAACTATGACAGGTTCCAATATTTTCATGACTTTTAATCTTGCTCGACCGATCTATAATTTTTACACAATTCAGACGAGAGATCCTCAATTGCCCAGCGAAAAATATCATCATAGTGACCACCAAAGTATCCCATCCGACCACATAGGCGCTCACGATAAGACCTAGTATGGTTTGAATGGCCATCGACACATAATATCCTGGAGGTTCGTTGCTGAATGGAGTGTAACCATCAAAAATATAATAGTAAATACTAGTTCCATTTTCAATAATCTGATTGTTTTGATAAGGTTCACTAAATATGCTAAAGTTAGAGAAGAAAGCCAGGCCCCAGAAGAAGTAGGAAACTCGGCGACTTCTGTTTATATATTCATTCAGAATTCCATCATATTCTTCGTCATTTTTGGCCAGCTGCTTCTGTTCTCTAGAAGATATGAAGTCGATGAGAGTCTCCCATTTCTTATAACTCTTGCGGAAGAAGCAGCTCTTCACTATTCCCATATGAAAGGGCGCATATTTGAGTATTAGCATAAGGGAATCTACTTCCATGCTAATGCAACATTTAACATATTGACTAAAGAAAAATGCAATCGTTATATAGAAAAAGCATTGTTTGAATTTCGTTAATTTTGTATTATTCGGGTGCCATAAACCAGTGAATTCTAAAAGACGTAAGTGCGGACCCACGGACGGGTACCTTGGATCTTCAAGGAACCTCAGTAGTCCTTTGGTACAAACCAATTGATTGCTCGAGGACATTATTGTAACTGGTGACTCTTAGTAGATTTCTTGTTAGAATACCGTGCAAAATACTAACAATTAGTTGGCGTGGGAGGTTGGTAGTTAGTTAAACTAAGTGGTATTCAGTCGTTATGAATATTTTGTTATGAATAATAATAGATTGCAATGATTGTAGCAATTAGCAGAGCTGTAATTTACCAGGTATCTAGTGTAATACTAGTAATTTACTAACGTAATTACTTGAAATAGAAATCTTTCTCCGCAATGTCTGTATATTTAAAAAAACAACAATGGGGACTTTGTCAGCAAATTATATAGCAAATAAAATACACGTCTTTAATTTATTTATACACAAATAAATACTGTCAAAGTTTATACAAAAATAATTTGTACTTACGTAAATGTTAAGGAACATATAACATTTTTTTACCGTTACCATAGCTAGATGAAATATTTTTTTGTAACCTGTGCGATGGTATTTTGTAGGAACAGCGGGTTCCGTTGATTCTTTTTTTTGTCGTCGTCGTGTATCATGTACAAAATAATGGCGAACTGAGATCTCCTCTTTTTGGAAGTAGTAAGAAAATATGTGCATGGCTCAGGTACTATGACAATCTCTGTTCAGGGCTGTTCTTAGTGGCGGACTATGAAGGGCTATGGAGAGGGCTATGCTCGGAGTTTCTTTGCGTGATAAAATCCGAAATGAGGATATCTGCAAAAGAACCAAAATAACCGACATAGCCCGAAGGATAAGCAAGCTGAAGTGGCAATGAGCTCATCCCTATTGGTTGTTGGTTCTTCGAGCAATAGCATAGCTCGAAGAACCAATAACCGATGGGGAAGAAAGGTTCTTGAGTGGCGATCGCGTACGAGTAAACGCAGTGTAGGACGGCCCCCCCACTAGATAGAGTGACGACCTGAAATGCGTTGCAGGGAGTCAGTGTATGCAGGTGACTCAGGACCATTCTTCATGGCAGTCTATGGGGGAGGCTTATGTCCAGCAGTGGACGGATAATGGCTGAAATGATGATGATGATGATGAAGAAGGATCATGTTTAGCAGTGGACAGTTAACGGTACACAATGATGAAGTGCTATCTATTATTCTCATCTTCTTGTATATTATAGTATATTTTATATATGTGTAAGTATATTTGTTATATATATATATATATATATATATATATATATATATATATATATATATATATATATATATATATTGAAATTTTAGTATGTGTGTATATCAATTATTACTAGTACCGCATTCGAATATTCTGACATATCCCTTTGATTGTGAGAGAATGTTTTTAGTATTAAATCTGTTTTGTACACATTCTTGTACTAATGAATAAGTATATAAAAAAAGTGTTGACTATTTTTGTGAAAAATTACTGAGATGTACACATAAGTAGGAATACATATATATTGAAAATTATTATGAAGAAAATTATCATTCCAACATTTGCTTCCGTCTCCAGCAGATGGCGGATGCAGCTAATGTAAGTAGTTTAGTGAACAGTCTCAATGGAATTTCGCCGTTCTGAAGTTTTAGTAAGAGTAGCTACCCACTAGATGCGGAAGCCACTCAGTTTAATTATGCAGAGTAAGCATCGTTTCTACTTTTTGCGTAGATTTTGGATTAAGTTGTCCTTTTTTACGGGGAGAAACTGGTAAAAATATATTTTAAATAATTCATTTTGGAGGGAAACATGTAGAAAAAATAAGCAATTGATTTCACACCATTTTTTGTGGATTGCAATATGTTTTCTTGTTTTTTTTTTTTTTATACCCTTACAGGTTATTCTAAAACCTTTTTTAAATTAAAATATTTTTACTTTCTTTGATTTATTTTATTATGATCAACTAAACCTTGTGTATTTATATATAATATAAGTCAAATATTAACTTACCTAAAAATTATTTGGTTTTACCTCTACCATAGACGTAGTATAACCTTAAGTATGACATATATTCAAGATCTCTACCATGCTATAGTTATTGAAATTAAATGCGGCAATTTCGCATAAACAAGACGGTAAAGAACTATCAAATACCAAAAATAAAGAATATTTTATATTACGTTTCCCTAAAAATATTATTACAATATAGAATTACGATTTTTGTAGTATTATTTACTTATCACTATTATAAAGCTGCTCTATTTGTTTCTTCCTTAGGCTGGACCTCTCGTTTTGTCCAGATAAGATCAGAGCCGGAAATTAAGAGGAAATTGTATTTGTTTCTTATACAGTGCTGTCGTCCCAATAAAGGCATCATTCCCGCCATTTTGTAATTTGAATTAATATTAAATGCTATCCTTATTTGATACTTTTATAAATTAAAATCAAGATTATAAGCTTCTACTAAAAAAATATACTTACACTTGTATTATAACAAATGAAAATAGTTTTTTAGTTTAATTGGGTAGATAGGTGGTGATGTTAAGTAAGTATATAGAGAAAGTAATTACAGGAGTAGGCAGTAGGCTTATATTTATGAAATCAGGAAAATGTAATGCATGTGAATATTTAAAACCATCAAGACAATGAAATAAATTAATATTCATAGTGTTCTACATTTTTCTATATATGCCTATAGCCAAAATATTGCTCGTTGTCATAAAGGAACCACTTACCATAATAATTAATGCCATATTTATAATTTATGTAAAACATCTACAATAAGACAAGTATATATGTTTAATTACTTTATTTTGTTCTACTTTAATTTTTAATTCATTTTTATTTCATAGGTGAGTAATATAGGTTCCCTTTATATCATTAAATAAAGGTTTAATTTTTAACGTTTACATGGTAATAAACAGCATTTAAAAATAAAACACATATTATCATTTAAAAAATATTTATATAACATAAATATCTACATACAAAGAGAATAGCTTTATTTTTAATCTTTTAAGAAGTAATAATGTGTGTGCTGTGATATAAAATGGGCCACCTCTTCCTTTCCCGTGGTGTCGTAAGAGGCGAATAAGGGAAATAGAGGGATGGGCAGCAGCGTCCCTTTTAAAATATCTATTAAAGCCTAACTGCGGTGGCCAACCCGCCTGCCAAGCGTGGCAACTACTGGCAAAACTTCTCATATGGGGTCCAGGTCCATCAGTGGGCAGTTAATGGTTGAAATAGTAATAAAAATATAAGAGGTAATAATATAACGGGAAACCGTATATAATATAATTAATTGTTATCAGTACTAATAATTCAATTTCAATTCATTTTAACAAATAGTAGGTACTGGTAAGAACAACACTATAAAATTTGGTTAATTTTACAAGCATAAAAATGTTAAATTGCAAATTGCAATGAACTTGTAAAATAGGGCTATGCTATGACATAAACAAGTAAATTTATTAGATTACATATGAAAAATGTAAACTCCATTTGTACTTGACCGTATTAATCAGGTCAACAACATTTAAAAGACCGTTGTTCTATGTTGTCTATCGTGTTTTTCATGCAAAAACTATGTTGCTCAAATTAAAAAAAAAATCTCTACAATCTAAAATTGGTTAAAAATAATCCCTGCGACGAAAGAAGCATAACAAACAATAAAATAAAATGAATATTCTACCGTATTATACTCCTTTTACTGTCGTGGGGTATTTTGAATAATATTATTTAATATCACGTTATACTGAGTTTTTAAAATGGTTTTATTCATAATTCATCATGAAAGAACTATATTATTCATTTTCATCAATCACTGGTATCCTTCACTAATTGCTGAAAAATAAATCTATTTAACGCAGACAGTAAGTAATAACACAATAAAATAAAAAAATATTATATGGACATTTACGAAAATTTCTAACATGCCATTGTAAATTTTAACCGATAGATTTCAAAAAAGATAATAAAGCTTATACTTACTTACGTGAATTATCTATTTAAATTTAGTATTACTTGTTACCATGTATTTTCTTTTACAATAACAATGATATCAATATATCATTTATAAATTATTAAGTTTAAACAAGGTTAAAGTACAGTATATATAACTAGTTAGCATAGTAGTAGCCATTAACTGTCCACTAAAATAGGCTTCTCGCAGAAGGGGGAGGGGTAATAATTAATATTAAATAACTAACTACCTCATAAATAATTCATTTAATAATTTTATTTAATTGTACATTTACCATGGTGTAACGAAACGTCGTAACGACGCTAGGCGCTGGCTGGCTGGCGCTGTCTCATGCACGCGTCACGTTGCTGTCATTTCAAAATTTGACGGGTCGCAGTGACGGTTACGAATACAAATTTCAAACTGCGATTTACTGTTTACAATTTGATTGTGGCAATTTTAATTAATTACCACAAATACCGTGACTAATATTACGAATGTGACACTGAGAAACCGTTATAACGTATTTGTACTACAAATTTCTTTGAGTTTTGAAGAGGACAAGTGCTTTTCGTTCTATGATACTAATTTTGTGCAGCGTCGTTGAAAATGGTGAAAATAGAGCGCGAGCGAGATCGGAGGGTTGGGGGAATTGTGCCTTCGAAGAGTGGTTCCACGCAGAATATGGCAGCGAATATAAAAGTTGTGGTGAGAGTGCGACCACTGAATGAGAAGGAGCTCGAACAGAACAGTCGCATCGTGGTGGATGTTGTTGATGATAAGATGCTGGTCTTCGATCCTAAGGAGGAAATGAGGCCATTTTTCTACCAGGGCGTCCAGCAGCCGAATAAGAATTTTTTAAAGCGTGCTAACAAAGAGTTAAAGTTTGTATTTGATAATGTTTGTAGTCAGAGTGCAACAAATAGGGATGTGTTTGAAACTACCACAAAGGATATGCTATCCGCACTGATGGAGGGTTACAACTGTTCTGTTTTCGTCTATGGAGCAACTGGAGCAGGGAAAACCTTCACCATGATTGGCAACAGTGAGCATCCTGGAATAACATACTTGACGATGGAGCATCTTTTTTACATAATTAATTCATATGAAAAAGATAGAGAGTTTGATATAGGTGTCTCTTATATTGAAGTAAGTTTTATTTATTTAAAATTTTATTATAAATATTTTTTTTATTATGATTACAGTAACATATCGTTAATATTATTCAGTAGGAGTAGCCCTTAAGAGTATTCACTATATTTTGTGACCTTGTAAAAGTTACCTAATGTTAATCTATCTAAGGTATTAAATTCAAATTTATTCAGTTATTAAGTTTTTTAATCATCCAAATATCATCATTGTAGTAACCGTTATCTGTCCACTGTTGAACATTGGTTTCTCTATAAAGGGGTTTTGCTAGTAGTTGCCATGCTTAGCAGGTGGGTTGGCATCTGCAGTTAATCTTTGGGTATGTTTCAAGAGCCACGTTGCAGCCCATCCCTCAACCATTAAGTTTTCTTAGTTGCCTATTATGGCTCCCACAGAGAAGGAAGAATTCAAATATGTAATTCTTACTAGTTTTATAAATGTTAAAGTAAGTTTGTTTGTTTGTTATATTTTATAGCGCCTTAACGGCTTAACCAATTATTAAGAAATTTGGTATACATTTACCAGAGGGAGACTTTGTACATATACTGTATATGTGTTTATATGGCTGTGTTTTGGATATGGTGTGAAAAAGAGGAATATCAGGAATGGCAACACATGGGGGTATCATTTTTGTATATCCATGGTACTGCTCAAACATACTTTCCATCCTCAGCTTGGCCATTCTAAGTTGTATAAAAAAAAAAATTTACTATATGTGATGGAAAAAGATATAGGCAACTTTTTATCTAAGTAAGTAAACATATCCCAGTTCTAGGACAATGTCACAGGTAAAACCTATTTATTATGAACTTTTACATTTATAATATTTAAGTTTTGATAGTTTTGAAGATGTTTATTTTTAAATCATGTATAAATAGCTGAATGAATTTGAGTGAAATTTAAATGCTTGGTTGTAGATAGATTTTTATCTCATTTAACAGTAGTAAGACTATTACATTGCTGATACACAGCAGAAAAGTGGACAGTAGGAACTCTGTTTAAAATTAAAAAAAAAAAAAATTTACTTCCTTAAAAAGTCAGTTTAGATTATTCTTAAACAAAAGTTAATTAATAATTTGTATCTTTTAGTTCAAAATAAATTTATTACATATTTGATAGTTTTAGTTTCCATATGTAATGCAAGTTTTATGTAATTTATTATTATTAAAAGATAAATATGTTTGTATACTGTTTGTCAGTAAATAAAATAAACAAATAAATGTTTGTAAATAAATAATAAGTGTAACATAATCAAACCAATCACCTGATCCTCAAACTTGAGTTATAAGGAATCAGGCTATAATCATGTTATTGATGTTATGTTATTTATTTATTCATTAAAAATAATTATAACATTATGACAGCAAAAACCAAATCAATGTTATAAACCTAGTGTGCTAACAAATATATTAAAGATATTTAAAGTATGAAATGTGCAATTAAGGACACAAAATTTATGTTTGTTTGTGTTTTGTACAGGGTCTAATTAATTTGTAATATTTATATATTTTCTATCATCTTCATATCAGCCTTTAACTGTCCACTGCAGAATACAAGCCTGTCTCTTTGGGTCTTGGGGGGGGGGGGGGGGGGGGGGTTGCCAGTAGTTCCTACGCTTGGCAGGCAGATTAGTCAACACAGTCAAACAGTCAGGCTTTAGAGTTGTTTTAAGAGGAATGTTACTGCTCATCCCTTGCTCTCCCTTAGTTGGTTCTTATGACACCCATGAGAAGTAAGGGGTGGTTTATTCTATGCTGGAACCACACAGCCATATTTTATATATGCTTTAAATAATCTTGAATATTTTGCAGGTATATAATGAAAATGTATATGATCTATTGAAACCGTCAAACACACCATTACAACTGAGAGAGGACTCAAAATATGGGGTAATGGTTGCTGGTCTCACACTTAACAACATCAAGACAGCAAGAGAACTTCTTAACATGCTGGAAAATGGCAATAAGAATAGGACACAGCATCCCACAGATGCTAATGCTGAGAGTTCTAGGAGCCATGCTGTATTTCAGGTATTTTTAATAATAATAATAATAATTTTTATTTCAGACTTTTTGGTCCATTAAATATTAAATTATAATTTAATTATATTATTTAAGTCTTATTATCCAGTTAATAAATAATATATCAAGAATGAATGAAGATTTTGAAAATAATGTTTTAATATTAAGCTGTAAGTTATTTTAGTTTTTGAAGTGTTTTGTCTTTTGCACTGAATTCTCAATTTGAAAGAAAGTGACATTCCAATAGTTAAAATAGATTTGTAGATTTTAATTTTTATGAATAAAGGTGTTTGTTATATTTTTTGAAAAAGTTTTTATTGGGTTTAAAAAAAAAATTGTGAATTTAATAGCATTTAAATGTCCAGGTAATTATCATTAATTTACACTACTTATTTGGTTTTGGGATGTTTATTTTTTTTATTTTCCACTTTTAAAAAGCTTGGCTTGAATCTTGACTTGAGGCTTGAATTATGATTTATTTATATCCCCTATCTGATAATTTTTCCCTCTTTTTTAGTTGTATATACTTTTTCTAAATTTTTAATTTTATAATAAATTATTTTTTACTAAGATTTTACATTAATAACTGTTTTGTAAGTTTATTGACTATTTAAGTATATTTATGTAATTTTTTTATATAAAAATTTTACAATTATGACAATATAAAAATCTATATGTTATGAATTAATTCAGGCAATTCATATATAGATAACAATTAATTTATTTTCTTCTATTAATAAAAATGAATTGCTAAATGTTGCCAAATGCTAAACTCGGGAATAGTTGAATCATTTCGTCTAATTGGTTTTTCAAATATTTGCTTAGGTTAGAAAAAAGTTCTTATAAAGAGAAAAATAGGAAAAAAATGTCCAGGAAAATGTAAAAATTTTTTATTAAGCATTTTTTCTTTTTTCCATCCAAATAGTTCCTAGATGTAAATTAAAAACTTTCAATTAACATAGTCTCATTTGCTTAGTCAGCTAGTAATTATTTATTAAAATTTTATTGCACTGATAATAAAAATAATAAATAAAGTTAATTTTAATGAGTTGTGATACAAAAGACGGCTTTATCGCTAAGCAATTTCTTCCAGACAACCTTTTATTATAAAGGACATTGAGAAAAAAAGACAAATAAACAGAGAAAAAGAATATTTAGTAAAAAAAAAAATTGAAATTATTCTTAATTCACCAAAAGATTTAGGATTATATAAAAAATAAGGGGTAATAAAAAAAATCTAAATGTGTTTATTGCCAATAAGAAATAACAGAGACAACAGAATAAGAGTCACTTCAAGCAGAACTTATATCAAGTTACATTATGAAGACTCTGCATTATCATTAGTCCTCAAACTAGGTCAGACCTGTATCTTGCGGACTTTAATAAGGGTTGATTGTTTATTTAGGGATATAATCAGGGGCCGCCATATCTTATAGATAGCGGCACGTCTTTATTTCAATAGACAACAGCGGTTATAATTATTTAAAGCAGCACTCCGCCCCCATTGCTTTCACGCCCCGGGCTATCACCGTTTTCTTCCTCCCAAAGCCAGCACAGATTATATTGAACTCGCTTTCTGGTCGCGCTTTCGCTTGTGTAGTCTATTTTTATATTTAGAAAATTGTCAATAAGAGAATCTCATTAATGTAATAAAATTTTAACTGCACGTTATCCATATATTTTTTTTTAATATTATAAAGGTGAAAATGAGTTTGTTTGCATTATTTTTTTTTTTACTTTATAACGTTTATAGGGCTTAATTAATCGCTATGAAATTTTGGTATACACATACTATTTGCGATGGAAAATGATATGGGCTACTTTTTTTTTATGCAACTTAGAATGGCAAGCAAGCTGACGGCCCACCTGATGGAAAGTGGTAACCGTCGCCTATAGACATGAGCAGTACCATGGACATGGTCCATGATACCCTCCCCCCCATGCGTCACCATTCCTGAGCACTCGGGTATTATTCCTCTGTACCCTGTAAATTCACTGCCATATTTCACCCTTTAAACCGAATATATATAATTTAATTCAATTTAATGTAGTTTTTGAAGATTTTATATAGCAATGGGCTTTTTGTCGACCAGCTTTTGAATTTTGGTATTTTGTAGAGACATAATCACTATGGTTATTCAATGTTCGATTGATTATTATTCGTGCAGGTATACGTGAAGATGCGTTACAAGACAAGCAGTCAACTACGTCTCGTCAAGTTGTCTATGATAGACCTAGCTGGCAGCGAGCGGGCGTCTGCGACCGGCTGCGTTGGCGAACGATTCAAGGAGGGAGCCAACATCAATAAGAGCTTGTTGTCGCTAGGCAATTGCATTAATAAGCTGGCAGATGGCAGTAGCTACATACCTTACAGGTGAGGGTTAAAAATAAAATCTAAAATTGTGTTAAAAAAAAAATAAACATCAATTGTGACAACATCAGTAATTTTGATTTAAAAACGTAAACTATTGGATTGAGTTTGATAAAATTTCTGTGGGACCAATTTGTAAGATATTTCATCCTTTTATATAAAAAAAAGAATTTTTCGAATCTGTTTATAATTGACAGAGTTATGAGGTAATATTTTTTTTCTGTTTAGCGTAACGGTTGACTGGTGGAGAATGCCATCAGGCATGAAGTCCGTTCTGTAGACATATTTTTATTTTGCAAAAGTATAAATAAATAAATTAAAAAAAATACAACCGAATTGTACCTCCTTGTCTCTGAAGTTAGTTGAAAATATTAAGCGTCTAAATGAATGCCAATTTGTTTGTTTCCTTATCACGAGAAAATTTATGATATTTTACAGTTTTACCTGCTTAAGGTATTCCCATTGGCATATTTAAGATCATTTTTCAGGAAGGTGGTGGAAGGAGACTCGCTCTAAAAAAGGCACAATATGTACTCCTAGATGTGTTTTTGCAAATCTTTGCTCGGATCCTGCGGTGGGCACTAGGCAGTTCCGCACAGTGGGGTTCGCGTTTTTCGCTTTTTTTTATTATCTTTTCTTGATATACGTGTTTTTAATATTTTCATTTGCAATTTAATAGCAAAAAAAAGTTTGCTCCGTTTTGAAAAAAGGGGGTATCGTTTTGTTACCGTATTATTTTTTTACGTCTGAGATATTTTTATGAGTGCAAATTTAAAATTTTTATTACAGAGACTCGAAACTTACTCGGCTCCTGAAAGACAGTCTCGGTGGGAACTGCAAGACGGTAATGATAGCTAATGTCTCACCTGCACACATCAGCTACGAAGACACCTACAACACACTCAAATACGCGGCCAGGGCGAACAAGATACAGTTGAGCATAAAGAAGAATATAGTAGACGGAGACATGAGGTTGTCGCAGTACGTGAAGATCAATGAAGAACTCAAGAAGAAGGTGAAGGAATTGGAGGCGAAGCTGTCGCTGTCTAGCGTTAAACAGGTGGTTCGGGAGCCGGATACGACGAAAGAAAAAGGTTAGTTCATTGAAATATATGCCTATAGATGATGAAATGAAATTCTTTTGCAAGAATGTTGGTGAGAGGGGCGAGGGAGGGAGACTGTACAAAAGTCGATTGCTTAGGTACCTCTGTTTCATTCGTATTTCTACCGTCAAGCAGTTGTGTTTGCATGACTGTGTTTCGGTGTGAAGGGTGGGATAAGGCGTGAATTTACGGGGTACAGAGGAATAACATCTGAGTCCTCAGGAATGGCAATGCTTGGGGGGTATTATGGTCGAAACAGTATACTCTGTTATGGCCATGGTACTGCTCATGTCTATAGGCGACAGTTACCACTTTCCATCAGGTGGGACGTCAGCTTGTTTGCCGTTCTAAGTTCTATCTGCCTGCCAAGCGTGGCAACTACTGGCAAGTTTCTCCCCTTGGGGAGGCTTACGTTCAGCAGTGGATAGATAAAAGCTGATTTGATAATGAAAATGTTTTGTTGCAATTATTAAAGAAAAACTACTATAATTGAAATTAGCAATAAATTAATATGTTTAATCAATTAATAAATTTTTGATTTGTCCTACAGGAAATCAGTAGGTCAAGTCAATTACACGTTTATTTACATTTTCATTAAGTTGTGTTGAAACAGACAGAATCTTAAGGCAACGACAAGATCTATAATTATGACGTCGCAACGAGCGAGCGACTTCCACGAATTCTGATTTCGGTTTAATTAAACCTAATAGTATTAAAGTTTGAACCAGTCACGCCTCGCGTGTATCGCATCCACGTTCATAATTCGTATAAGAGTTTGGTTAGTTTAGTCTGAATTCTGATGTTCGTAATGATTGCGGCTCATATGGGACGCGATTTAATTAAACCTTATGATATCCGGTTAGGTGGGTGTGACATAGAGCATTGGTATAGATTGTCTAAGATAACATGGCACGTCCGTCTAAATTTCAATAATAAAATTAAAAATATTTGCAAGGTTTCAATCAAGAAATATTGTTTATAAATTTATGTTCATCATCATCATATCAGCCGTTAAACATTCTCTGCTGAACATAGGCCTTCCTCCTATTGGGGGAGTTTTGCCAGTAGTTGCCACGCTTGGCAGGCAGATTGGCAACCACAGTTAGGCTTGGGTGATGTTTTGAGAGGGATGCTGCTGCCCACTATAAGCTACCTTAGTCGTCTCTTGTGACACCCACGGGAAAGGAAAGGGTGGCTTATTATATGCTGGAACCATACAGTTATTTATTTAATTTTTATTAATTGTATTGTAGTATACACAACTGCTTCACGGTTGAAACACGAATCGGACAGAGGTACCCAAGCAATCGACTTTTGTACAAAGTCTCCCTCTGGCAATCTATAGTCAAGCAGTTCTTATTAAAGTTATTGAGTGTAAATCCGGGTCTTTCTTTATGTGTTTTCGCTATTAAACTACTGGAGCTTCTGATAAAAATTGGCAGTGAGAGATTCTATAATTATTAACAAATCTCATGTTATATATGAAATCATACGTCACAGTAGTTACGTCGCTTAATTTAGACTGTTACAAATAGTTTTTAATGAAATCACAGATAGTTGCTGTATTAAGATTTATTTGTAAGTCATTGCTTGTGCTCGGTTGGTAGTGAAATAAAAATGCAGTAGATGGCCGGCTGGGTTGTAACAAGCGAGCGAATAAAAACTTCAGCGCCCTGTACTACAGTCTCTATTTGCTCGTTCTTACTATAAAAATTATAATTTATATTTCATTTTAATAGCAAGCAGTACTGAGTGCGACATTACGTCATTTGGAGTGAAAACTGCTTAATGTCACAGGTGACATCGTTGTGATGATAAACAATTTCACTAAGTAAAAGTGAATTAGATGTAGCATTAATTTCCATGTTAAAAATATTATCGTTTATTTGTTAAATTCTGTCACATGTGATATCATTGTGGTGATAAACAATAATTTAACTAAATAATAATAAATAGATATAGTAACAATTTTCATATAATTGTTAAAAATAAATTCGTAAGCATTCGTATTAATGTAATAACCAATTTAACTTAAGCGTAATTAAGTTGAGATAGTGCGAGCAGTCAGATTCGCGCCCTCGTCACAGCCGCTCACGATTAAGGGTTCCTAATGGTTCCGAAACTAGTTGAACTTTCTCGACCTAGTTACTCGCAAGTTAAACCGGTAACTTATGTTAAATAATAACATGTATGTGTAGTAATTGGTATGTGGCGTTGTACACAGTGCGGCTGGAGTGGCGGCGGCGCGTGGCGGAGGCGGAGGCGTCGCACGGCGCGGCGCAGGCGGGTGTGCTGGCGCTGCTCGGCCGCCAGCGCGTGCTGGCGCTGCGCCGCCGCCTGCGCGCGCGCGCCCGCGACCACGCCGCGCGCCTCGCGCACCGCTCCTCCTGCGACGTGCTCGACCAGGTGCCGCCGCCACCGCACCGCACCACACCACCACACCACCACCGCACCACACCACCACCGCACCACACCACACTACCACACTACACCAAACTTACACCACACCACACCACACCACACCACACCACACCACACCACACCACACCACACCACACCACACCAACACACCACACCATCACACCACTACTCAACCACACCACTACGTCACCACGCCACCAAGCCATCACGTCACCACGCTACCACACCACCACACAACCACACCACCACACCACCACACCACCACACTACACCACGTCACCACGTTACCACGCCAACACACCATCACGCCACCACGCCACTATGCCACCACGCCACCACACCACCACACCACCACACCACCACGCCACCACGCCACCACGCCACCACGCCACCACGTTACCACGCCAACACACCATCACGCCACCACGCCACTATGCCACCACGCCACCACACCACCACACCACCACACCACCACGCCACCACGCCACCACGCCACCACGCCACCACACCACACTACACCACACCACCGCACCATCTCATTATCCACTTGTAAACATTATTACTTCCTTTCATCAAGTAGGTTAATTAAATTGTACATAGAAATTTCACCTCTTCCTATTGAATTGGCCACACAGACATGACCGCGACGTTTCCTCTTTACCTACATTTTTATTGTTAATCTCTTTATTCAATCGCATGCCTATATTCGTAATTTCTATTTTTACATTTTACTTTCTGTATATTTTCTATTGTGCCGTGTAGTTAAGGAATACATATCGCTAGCCCCTTCTTTTCTTGTACATGTCGTAAAAAGCGATTAAAGGGTAAAGGCCACATAAGGACAATTTTCAGCGTACTTTTTGTCGGTTAAAAAATATTTAAGTAGTTATATATACATTGACAATTTATGCCTTTTAAAATCTTTGGACAATAGTCGGCAACACAGCTCTTTTATACGTAATAATAATAATTTATTTTGATGAACTTGGATCATTGCACAATTATGAAATTTACAGAATTCAATAAATAATAAATGTATGTAATTTTTTAATAATATTTTTTTACTGTTAGATGTGCAGCGAAGATATTCCGCGGCAAGAGCGCGCCGCTGAGAATTATATGAAGCAGTCTGCCCATCTCGATTCAAAAGTTTTAGTGGCTTGGAACAATTGGGACGAGCATAGGCAGAAACTGGATCGACTGTGCAGCCAAGCGCTCTCAGAATGTCCAGAATTGAGTGATTTCATAGAAAAAATAAGGATGCAAAGTGAACTCAGAGAAGTGAAGGCTAGAGACGACATGAGATACAAGTTATTATGTATAGAGAACGAAGAGATAAACACATTCACGGAATACATGAGCGAAATGCCCAGTATGCTAAAGAAATTATATTTGACATTGAAAGGGTACGATAAGGCACCGCCAGCATTAACTGCGGAGTATTTAGAGATTATGAAGAAAGCGAAGCAGGCCAAAGGCATCTCGTGGTCGGATACAGAGATAGAAGGCGATTCTCATTTCAAATTCATATCAAATTTAAATTTAGACAAACCATCGACAACTCTAGAGTATAATTATCCTAATCACGATGACGTAAATGGGACCATAGACGTAGTGACGGACAGCGAAGATTTGACCGACGTTGAGAACCGGGAACCGGTACGATTATGTGCGACCAAACGAAAGGGTACCCCTATAAAGCTGGCTAATAATGAAACTATAATTATTAACGATTCCTTTGAAAGTTTGGACACGACGAGAAATTTAAATTCCGCTAAGAAAGTTAAAAGGGAATACGGAATTGCGCCTGAGGTGGAGAATTTTATTGACCCCAAGGACTTGAATTCGACATTTGTCCTGGGTGGCAAGGTAGAGCCGGCCCATAAGCCTGTTAAACCTGAGAAGGTGGAACCAGTGAAAAGAGGACTCATCGATCGGACAAACACAATCCAGAGGACTGTGACTTTTAATGACAAGGGTAAGTCAATTTACGATGATGATTTCGTTGATATAATGGTTTCTCACAGTGTTTTACCTTCCAAAGGTTGTATGTTCGATCCCCGCACATCAAATATATTTCTATTTTTTAGTTTTGTCTTACTAAAAAAGTAAGACATATTCATCGGGGGTCAGGGTATTTTACAACGGACTTCAAAAGAAAGTAGTTTCTCAATTCTGTTTTATTTTTTTTATGTGATTTGTATATGATTTGGAAAATTCTTTTTTTTAATTGAAAGGACTTATAGATAGATCGCATAGAAATTTTTATTAAAGTTCAGTAGTTTAGTTTTTAGAGCAAAATAATTCGTTTTGTCACAGTTGAAGTAATTTTTTTGTGGAACTCAATCTTTAATTACTATGTATAATATGTATGTATTAAAAATCTGGCCCTGTAGTCCCGGCATAGAGCAGGCCGCCTCTTCCTTTCCCGTGAGTGCCATAGAGGATTAAGGGAGGGCAAGGGATGGGCAGTCTCTCTTAAAACATCCTCAAAAGCCTAACTGCTGTTGCCAATCTGCCTGCCAAGCTTGGCAGCTACTGGCAAAACTCCCAAGGGGAATGGTTATGTTCAGCAGTGGACAATTAAAGGCTGATATGATGATGATGATTGAAAAGTTTATATCTATTAGTTATCAGGTATTCATAGAATAAGCCTTCCTAATTTGGACCTGCCACATATTTGGCAAACAAGTATACAGCCCATCTGATGGTAAACGGTCACTGTAACTCAACGTCTGCAACACCAGGCGTGTAAGCGTTGCGGACTCTGAAGAAACTTTAATACGCCCTTTTTGAAGAACTTAGGAGTTATTTATATAAGTGTAAACGCATTGTCTTCTCCAACAGCCAAGATAGTGAAGCCAGTGGTGGGCAGAGCACTGCCGTTCCGTCGGCCGCCCACTGCCGGTTTCGGCTCCAGTCTTGCACGCGACGGTACACCGCTGCAGAGAAACATACAAGGTAATTAAAAATTATCATTATTGTCCAAAAAAACAATTATAATATTTTCATGTATATGAATGGGGTATCGTTAAAATTAGGCTTATTAGGTAAGGCTATATATTTTTTTTCAATTTATTTTAAACATAGCGGCTGTATGGCGCCATTATTAAAAAGGAATATTTTTTTTTATTAGGGCGGTAGTGTCATTTTTTTGTTATAACTTCTTGTTTATACCATAAGTAATTAAGGTTTATTAATTACAATTTTTCAATCATCATCGTGTCTCCGATTAAACTCTTTATAATTACTTATCTACATCCAAAGGTTGTCTGGAAGGGATCCTTTGTAGGTAGAAGGCCGCCCATTGTTTTCTCACTGTGATTTTGTAATTGTTTGTATTTATAATAAAATAACTATTGTAATCTTTTGAAGAGAAGAATAAAGTATCTATCTATCTAAACAATTTTACACAGTACATATGGTAAAGTGGGTTTTTCGTTAATTCTAATATATGTTTGTGTTGTCTATAGTTAGTTTCTGTGTGTCCATGTTTTATTTAACTCGTTTATCTACGGTTAATAACTAATAGCTCCTAAGTAACATAGACAAAATTGTAAATTTATTCCATGCTAGCTGTATCCTTTATGTAATGTAAATTATCTACAATAAAGATTTTACAACATTTTACAGCAATAACATTGAATTAAAAATTATGTAAATTAGAAAAGATAGGAAGGATAGAAAAAAATCTACAGCTCTAAGGTGCAGATTGTAGGTACTAAATGAAAACACTGTATTTAACAAAATATGTAATGATATTTTGTACATGTCAGTTAAGAGGTATTTGTAGTTAACCGAAAATAACCTTGAAACGAAAGCAACACTAACGTGTTGCTTTCGTTTCAAGGTTATTTTTCTCCACCGACAATAACACCGTTTGCTTGATTCTATCCACTCCTAAGACGAACAGTTGTCGAGCTCTTTAGTTCAGATATTAGTCGTTGTTCCAATAGAGAGCAAGATTGCGGGACATTTGTCGACGGCTCGGTATAACTCAACCTCAGAAATCGAGCCAATTTAGTGAAGTTTGTTTCCTAATTCGCCCTACCTGACCTAACTACCTAGGACTGATTTACTTTCTTAACTAATGTTTTACGAAGATGTTTTAATCGATTTGAAGTTTGCAATGATTTTACGTATTGTTGGTTCACACATATGTAGAAGAAATAATAAAAAAAAAAAAAATCTTTGCCAGATATATGGGGTATACATTTATATGAGGTCCAGAAGGGATATTCCAAATTTCAAAATTGACCTGTTAGTCCAAGTGGTATCATACGAAAAAGGGATTCATTTGTACATTTTAAAACTGGATTTTATTTATTTTTATGATTTGTACTTTTTGTCTTAAAATCGAGAATGTAAGAAAAAAATCATTCTCCTCCTTATCTCCATAGTTTGTAAAGCGAAAAATCTGAAATAATTACAGTTTATCAAGATATATATGAATGTCACAAGAAAATTATGTGTATGTTCACACATATTGATATGGGATTTACAACCGACTTCAAAAAGAAGAGGTTTTTATTTCGCCTCCGCTTCATCTCGGCTTCGACCGTGAATAGTGGCAACCTATATCTCACCGATATACAACAGGATGTTAACCACTGAACTAATGAGGGTGTTCCATTTTTAACTAATAAATAATTTACCGATAAACACGCCCGTTATAACGTTGGGTCAACTTAATTAACTAAACAAATATTATCATAATACTGTGGTTACGATATGTAGTTTAGTTTACGAGCTTAAAACAGTTTTATACGATTCGTATCTGTTATCCTCTATTTCATACGTACTATCTCAATATATAATAAATAGTGTTCCAAAAAAACCTACTACAAATGTGGCAAAATCAGTTATGTTATTTCTATGAGACCAGTCCGTTAGTTACTAACGGATACATACATACATACATATCTGTCACGCCTGTCTCCCATTAGGGTAGGCAGAAACAATGGAACGCCAAATGCTTCGATTCAAACAAACCTCTTTCGCTCCTTCCACATTCATCAATCTTGTCATACACGCTCGCCGGTTACGGGTACTTTTAATTTGGCCCTTCTTCAGCACGTCACCTATTTGGTCGACATACTAACGGATATCCCATAAAAATACTAATGTTTAGTATATATCTCTTTAAATAAAACGATAATTTTCTAAACTGGTTTAAAACTGAGTTAAGAAAAATATAACCGAATCAAAAACTTCAAAAATTACAATAATGGAATGCATAATATCAAAAATTTGCGTATTAAAGCTAATATAAAATACTAATTTATCATTCTATCTATCTACCTGTGCGAAGTTGGGACAGAATGCTAGTCTTTAAAATACCTATTATATTTTCATGAATAAATCGTAAGGTGTATAGTATCTGTACCTAACTTTTGACTTTAGGGGGGAAAGGGATCGTTAGTAATAGAGACTAAGAATCCCATTGCTAGCAATATACCCAACCAGGTCGATCTCCTCGCGGTTCCACCTGGAAACTACCATGGTTAATTCCTGTTGAATTCGTCATGATGGGCTAACCGGCCTGTTTTCATTCTCATCTATCACCCTTCACTGGTGCTCCGCCAGCGTATCCCGTTAACGCAGGCGGGGTTATCATTCCATTTTCACGCATAAAAAAAAATTGTGACTTTATACGCTTACACAGTATAGAATATAGCCTAGTGTCCTTTTCTCTTCCAAGTCAAATTTTAAGCTAAAACTTGGAATCGATAAGAGGTAATCCTTACTAATGTTATAATTGTGAAAGTATGTTTGTTTGTTAACTCTAAAACTTATTAACGGATTAAATAATCAATATAAAATTTAGTATACACGGAGAAGGATATAGACATATTTTTTGTTTCGGTCAGTGAACATTGTCCCGGCCATGCGGACGAAGTTAGGTGTATGCAAGTAAGCAAATAAACTCACTTTCACATTTATAACATCAATAAGGATGTATAGTTTTTAATCCCACTTTACCGTTTTGGGTGGCGACTCAATATGTCTATCAAGCAATTGGTGTGATTGTTTTACCACTATTATTTATTTATTTATCATTATTGTGGTCGATTCTGAGGTCCTATTTCTCTAAAACTGTCGCTTGTAACCTAATATCTAAATAGTTTAGCGAAATTTTTGTTTTATGGATCACCATAAACTTAATTTTCTCATGCCATATCATGTCAGCCGTTTACTGTCTACTGTTGAACATAGACCTCCCCTTATTGGGGGGTTTTGCCAGTGGTTGACACGTTTGGCAGGCGGGTTGGCAACCGTAGTTAGGCCTTGGTGGTGTCTCAAGAGAGCATCTCTAATAATCAATAAGTTCTCTAGTCGCCTCTTACAACATCCACGGGAAAGGAAGTGTTGGCCCAATCTATGCTGGGACCAAACTTAATTATATACTATTATAAAAAAATTTACTAGACGACGTCTACATTAGAAATATATAATATAATAAAAATTAATATGAACCGTCTTAATCAGACTAATAGAGACCAAAACAATATTTTATAGGCGTTTTCTCTCTGTATGTATGTTCCGGCTTCACGTAAAAACTACTGTACCTGATTTCATGCAGTTTTCAAAGTTATGTTCCTGTTCTAACTCGAATCTGGTGGAAACTTCATACACCATTTAGGAGGGGTCTATTTAATTAGTTTTCCTACTTCGGAAATCTACGCGTATGAAGTAGCGGACAAGAAGCTTGTTTACAATAATTTTGACTTAAATCTATTAGAAATTGAGTTCAAATTGTTTTTTTTATACAAGTTAGAATGGCAAACAAGCTGACGGCCCACCTGATGGAAAGTGGTAACCTTCGCCTATAGACATAAGCAGTACCATGGAAATAACAGAGTATACTGTTTTGCCCATGATACCCCCCATGCGTTGCCATTCCTGAGGACTCAGGTGTTATTTCTCTGTACCCTGTAAATTCACGCCATATCCCATCCTTCAAACCGAAATACAGCCATGCAAACACAACTGCTTCACGGTAGAAACACGAATGGGACAGAGGTACCCAAGCAATTGACTTTTGTAGTCTCCCTCTGGTCCTTAGAATAAATATTTCAATATGATATCAAATTTTAATTTTAGAGGTTTGGAGAAATAGCGCTTCAGTATCGACCCCATTGTATGTTCTACGTTCTAAATCACTAACAATTGCCTTTCATGTGCCCTGTGACGTCCACTAACACACTAACAGCCATGAATCGTGCAAAGGCGAATGGCACTGAAAGATCAGTCGGTTATAAAGCAGTGAGGACGCGCGACCGGGTACAGGCGCACCCGTACGCGAGGCCTGCTGCCTTGCAGCACAGGAAGTGACCACATCGGCGTCGTCACGACGGATCGTCTCAAGGTTGGTGTGGACAAGCTACATTTAAGAAATGCTACATGCGGCCAAACCTGAGAACGACATTTGTAATAAAACATCCAATTCATCGCATATGTAATTTGCAAAATGTATAACTGGAGCTAATTGTGTATGTATGTATGTGACTATAGCCATATTACTAGATATGTCCATAAGTGATGGCTGTTTTCTGTATAATCAGTTAAAAATTACCTACTTATGGTTCACCAAATGTATTTTTCGTCTGTATATGTATACAGGGTATAAGGGACAGGCTGGCTAAAACGAAGACAGCGGATTTAGATTAATGGTTAGATCATTTTCCTATCAGAAATGTACCATAGCCATATAATTAACGATTCTTATATTAAACGCCGCGCAATGTATTTGAAATTTTACGATCCACACTACGCGTGGTACCTACCCTACACCTGCAGTAGCAACTAGGGCTTCTTCGTAGGTATTTTCGTACCCTTGTGGCGTTGACCTTACACAGCTGATTCCGCGCGTCGCGGTAGTATATTAATATGTATATTACATTTTTGTTTTTTTTTTTTATCTTTCATAGTATTTCGCTATAAAATAATATTATTTCTTTATATTATGACATATTGTAGATTACATGATTTTAAATGAATAAAACAGGAAAAGAATTTGAATTTTTCCGGAAAGATTTTCCACTAGTTTTTAGTTCAGAATAATGGTCTAAATTCACTGTTTTACATTTTGCCAATTTGCCCCTTACACCCTGTATAGTTACAAAAATGTCAAAGTAGAGCTAAATTCGCATCTGATCAAATGTATATTTAAAAACACAAGAGTTTGTATATATATTAAATTTCTTAACATCAGGCTTCTTAACGTTTACTAGTTTTAGACATTATACCACCAAAACTGTTATGCCAATAGTACGTATCTAAAATTGTACTTTTTTTAAAATCACGCAGCATCGCAAGCTAATACAAAATTTATGCATTGGACATTTTAAGTCCAGTAGTCGCACGTAAAGGAAAATTTATGGATAACGTGGACCATTCCAGAGACCCAGTCGAGTGTGAGATCTCCTTTATATCTCTAAGTTTTACTTACATAAATAAGTATCTTACTTAGCTAAGTGTTGTAAGTTAATTGATCGATTGAATAATGATAAATTACGAGAGTTTTTGTAAATTTATCGTAACTTAATTACGAGGTGTACTTATGTGGGTAAAACTTGCAAATGTGAAGGCAGCTAGGGTAAAATTTCTTATTTAACGTGTTATTTTACGATTATTCTTTTGTTATGACAATTAGAAGTGTTGGTGCGTTGTACTAAAATTTTTTTTTTAAAAACATTGCTGGGTATCATCGTCATATTATACCAGCGTCGTGTGGCCCCGGCATAGAATGGGCCACCCCTGACTTTTCCGTGGGTGTCGTAAGAATCGACTAAGGGAGGGCGAGCGATGGGCAGCAGCGTCCCTCTTAAAACATCTCCAAAGTCTAACTGCGTTAGTCAACCCGTCTGCTAAGCGTGGCAACTACTGGCAAAACCCCTCAAGGGAAAAGGCTTAACCAATAGTTACCACGCTTGGCAGGCGGATTGGCATCCGCAGTTTGGGTTTGGTGATATTTTAACAGGGACGCAGCTGCTCATCCCTCGATGGTTACGTTCCCTTGGTCGCCTTCTACGACACCCATGGGAAAGGGAGGGGTTGGCCTATTCTATGCCGGGACCACACGGCAGTGCAATAGCCCAGTTAGTGGATATTACTGGTCACAAATTTGTATTTTAGTTGTATGAAACTTTACTAGCATCACAATTGTTACTATTGAATAATTAATTTTTTTTTACGCAGTCTACTCGCGTATTTAATTTAAATTTGACACATTCAATAGTCGTTCAAGAATAAGTATATTTATTGATTTAGAAACACTTTAATATGTTTGACTCATATCAAATGCTGTTTTGTTCAATCTTTTCCAATACATATATAGGAATATACATATTTTATAACTATTTTATTTTTGGAATTAAAGATTCTTTTAATTATTCGACAAAAAAGTGGATCTTCAGTTGACGCAGTTACATTTAAGTTTTTAGATAATTCTTTTTATTAGCGTTCATATGGTAAATAAATTATGACCTAGTTTTAGTGGTATAGAAAACATTTTCTTTATTTGTAATATTTACAACCAAACTTGCTGTCAGGACTAATTGTATACATACATATATAGAACAGTAAAATGCAATAATGAATATAGGTACAAAGCCGACCACAGACACGCTAAGATAAATTGCTACGATTTAGCAGTACTACTCGAACGGCAATGATAAATTGTAACGTAACAAAACTGCTTTTCTGCAACCCATATTAGGATTTATCGTTAGTTTTAAATGTATACTGTAAACGTAACGGTTTCTTGTAGTGGATGTAAGCTCATTTACCGCTCTATGATCAGTCACATACCTATACATGCATACACACATGCACAGGCACGCAACATGCACACGTACGCATATGTACGTACACACACACACACACACACACGTACATGCACGAACGCACGCGCACACAAATATCGGGTTAGGTTTAATATTGCTAAAAGTAATACAAATGTTTTATTTTTAGCAAATTTTATTTAGAAAATAACTTTCCACTAATTGTTTTTAGAATAATGTGTACTATAAAAGAATTTGTTAAGCATTAATTATTATTACTTAGTTTTATTGTATTTCTTTAGTAAACTTTAGAATGTGCTAGCTTTAACATTTAAGTAACTATGTACGTATATTAAACATGCATTTGTTTTTCTTATATTTTTTAATAAAAGTGTGTAATTTTTTTGGATTTATATTCTATTCTATATTATGTTAATTTTAGACTGTACCTTAATAATGTACCTTGATATAGTTTTAATTTATACTAATATTGACAATTATATTACTATTATTTTTTGTGTTACTTTTTGTGATTTTTAAATTATATATTTTTATGTGACCGCATTACTCAAGTTGAAAAGTTTATCCGGGATAGAATCTGTGTGCCAAATGTTATCCAAATCGGTATTGACATTAATAAAAACTTTTCGTATAGGGTAATTTTATAATTATAATACATTAGAATAATGATCAAAGATTTTTTTATTTAATAACATTAAAACACTAGATTATATAATATTATTATGTACCGAGTATATAATTTTTAAATGGCACAATTATGTTTTGTATAATTTGTATGTGTAATTTTTCTTTCAAATGTACTGGTATTGATGTTCTAATTTTTATAGCAAATGAAAAGTAATATATCAATTGTGTACAATAGAATTAAGGTCTTATTTTAATATTATTATGGTAGGTAATCCAACAGAGTAGTTTACATTACTGTGACTTTTATAATTAATATGACTGATGTATTTTTAGATGTCGCTATTGTTTCACTTTGTATATTTTATTGTGATCGTGTGCAAGTTTGATTAAAGAATAATTTTAATTGATTTATTTTAATTCGTGTGTTTTATTTAGATTCTACATTATATCATTTACCATTTACCAGAGGGAGACTTTTTACAAAGGTTGTTTGCTTGGGTACCTCTGTTTATACCGTGATATACTTGTTTGTATGGCTGTGTTTCATTTTGAAGGGTGGGATATGGCAGTGAATTTACAAGGTACAGAGGAATAACACCTGAGTCCTCCGGAGTGGCAACGCATAGGGGGTATCATGTGCGAAATAGTATACTATGTCCATAGTACTGCTTATGTCTATAGGCGACGGTTACCACTTTTTATTAGGTGGGCCGTCAGTTTGCCATTCTAAGTTGCATAAAAAAAGATTTTATCGTATATATTTAGGAGTGTAAATGGCGCCTAAAATGGGCATCATTAAAATTTCGTACGAGTTAGTGCGTTTACTTTTTACGCTTTCTAATTGGTATTCATAGATAGAGAATGCCCAACTACTATTCTTAATCTATGTTAGTATTTGTAGAGCATAGTGTAGCTCAGTCATAGAGACTTGAGAGCAAAGAACACAATTAACATAGATACATATCAGTTACATTACTCGGTGTTCAATCCGATTCTCTAAATAGATGAGAGTTTGTTGGAAAATCGGATAGCGGGATTTCATTAGTGAGACTGTTACATGCCGTGTTTGAGTTCGACCGTTCAGCTGATGTGCATACCATAAATAATCACGATATGTATACTACTAACAATGTACAGAGAAGATTGAGTTAATTGAACTCGACCAGTCATCTAATACACTCTGTATTAGTTAGTGACCATAATTTATATCTAAATTTATATAATAATAAAGAAATGTAATATATAAGCGCGCTGAAAATGGAAGCTGGAGAACACTATATTTTTAATACCTATTTGCATATATGAGCATACTTCAGTACAACTGACAAACACTAGCCGTTTTATTTTATTCCAATACCTTTTATTTGATACATTGTTAAAATGTATAAATAAAATAAATAAATTTTATAGTATAATAGTTTATGTGTGCCGTTTTTTATTTCGGAATATTTATTTCTAGTTGTTTTCTGAGCGAGTGAGATAATGTAAATTTTTTTTTCATACTATAAAGGTTGCAAAGTTTACAAGTATACAGCCCGTCTGATTGTAAACGCTTTATTTATTATTGTTTATAAGTATCGCAATAATGGCAAACATCTTTGAAAAACCCCATGCTGCAGTAGTTTCTAGAAAATTCTCCAGCAAGAGTTTGCGGGAGGAAATTTTTTAAACTAATTTAAAATCTAGGGTATGAGCTGAATTAAATAATTATGTTGATAGTACTATTTTTTTAGACATAACGCTTAAAGACGTGTCCTTTTAGATAATAACTCGTAGCAAATGAATATACCAATAGATACAACATCGTTGCTCCATGCATCTGATTGAACGAGACAGCGTTGTACGGCTTCTGATTCATTCTCACGCGTAAGTTCTCATTTCCCTAGTGGCCGAGAAACCTTGACAGATCCCTAGAGAAATTTAATTTTAAAAATTTAGCAAACAAATCTGCCAATGCTAACAGTCTTCCAATAATTTTTATTATGACCGCAAAACGAAATTACTGGCCCCTAATACCGTTAGGGGAAAAAATTACCCGACAATAAGGTTAATTAAAATTGACGTCAAAGCTTGGATCGAGTCCCCTAAAGGTGATAAAAAACAGGGCCAAGGCAAGGTGTCAACAAAAACTCCCCGCAGCACCGCAAATGAATTGATTCAACGCAATCAATTTTTTCCAGGCTTCCCATCGCGGGCTCGGACCGTTCATTCACTTGGGGCTGATTAAATCGGTCAATCATTCGGTCTTACCGTCCAGTTAACTGGAAAATTGGTAATTAGATGTTGTAGGTGATAAAGTGTAGATATTTTGCGTATGTTGTTCAACCAAATCTAATTTGTTTGTTGTGTGATTTCTCTGAGGAAAAATCAATCTACAATTTCGAAATGTCTGAGAGGGAAACGGTAATCTGTAGGTGTCCGCGAATTAATCCGGGTCTTTATTTGCATAAAACTAATTACTTATATAGGTACCATTGTTTACAAAGTCGGTCGGATGACAGTATCCGTTGTAACAAAGCTATAATTGCGAGTTTCGTGCACGGAAATACGAAAATAATTATATATTAATTAAGCCGGAGTTTAAAAGGAAATTGAATGAGTGAATGATAGAATTTTCAATTTATTTTATGAATAGATTGAAGAGAATTGTGAAAAGAAGCTGCATAGGTCTATGCCTTAGATTTGTTTACGTAAATAAGGGTATAACGTATCCTAATATAGTATATGGTTTATCTGTCTATAAAATTCCATCATAGTCCATTCAGTCATTGAAATATAATGAAGTGACAATCATTTAAACGTTTTTTTTTGACATTTAGAATTTATTTGTAAGTAAAAGTGCCGGTCATCTAATATATAAAATTCTCGTGTCGCGGTGTTTGTAACCAAACTTCTCCGTAACGACTTTACCGATTTATATGAAATTTTGTGTGCATATCGGGTAGGTCTGAGAATAGGCCAACATCTATTTTTCATACCCCTCAATGATAAGGGTGACCCACCCTTAAATATTTTTTTTTTAATTTTTTGGCTAAATTTTTTATTTTTATTTTGTTATGATTTAGCATTGAAAAATACATACAAATTCAAATTTTCACGCTTTTATGATCAACCCCTGTTTTTTAATCGCGATTTTAATATATGCCGCAATAGGGTTGCAAAGTGGCAATCGAATATAATAGTTGTAGTACGAGAAATTGTCATGCATAGTTCTCGAAATAATTCCCAAAGAGGGTTGACGTCAGGCAGGTGGCCGGTCGTAAAACTAAAAACCAAATCTTTTTGTAATATGGATAAAATCATATTACGCCGACTCCAAATGATTGGGATAAGGGTAAGAAGATGATGATGAGTTCTCGAAATAATGTAAATGGTAAAACAACGTTTGCCGAGTCAGCTAGTAATTATATATATGAATATATATATATATATATATTGATTTTTATATTAAAATCGCTTGCTTATAACTGTTCTGTTACTAATACATTTTTGTTGTAAATATTATGTGACACCTATAGATAAAAATATAAATTTGCCGAGCAATTCCGGCATAGAATGAGCCACCCCTTCCTTTTCCGTGGGTGTTGTAAGAGCCGATTAAGAGAAGTTAATGGTCGAGTGGGGGGCATCAACGTCCATCTTAAAACATCACCAAAACCTAACTATGGCTGTCAAGCCGTGGCAGGAGGGTTTTTTTTGAAGGATAAAAATAAAATGGTGACTCCGCCCGTGCTAACGGAATACGCTGGCGGAGCATCAGTGAAGGGTGATATATGAGAATGAAAACAGGCCAGTTAGCCCATCATGATTAATTCATCAGAAATTAACCATGATAGGTTCCAGGGAGAACCGCGAGGAGGTCGACCTGGTTGGGTATATTGCTAGCAATGGGATTCTCAGTCTCCTTTACAACCATTCCTTTTCCCCCCCTAACCATTAGTGTATTGTAAAACTATTTTCCAATCAGGACCTGGCACCTTAAAAGACACATTATATAGTCTAAGACATGTGTGCACATATCTGAATGCTTAGCTGACATCCTATGGTGGGTATCAGAAACTTCTGAGTTGGGCACGGCCCATCTGCCCCTTCTACCCCTTAACTACGCTTGTGTACCATAAATATCTGCTTACTAGACTGGTTAACTTCCTTATAAATAGTTATCGACATTCATACATGACTTGTTCGTTTCCGAGAAAGTTGGTCGCGTTGTTGCCAGTTGCAAATAATAATGACGGATATAATGAGTATCTAAGAGGCGTCGTAGCTCAGTGGTATCAATCGTAAAGGTTGTGAGTTCGATTCGATTAATTCTGTGATGAAAATCACCGACAAGAAATCATATTAATTCGAGTGACTGTGGTATGCTTGCCTTCATCACGCTGACTTTAATAATATGCTCGGTGAAATGTGGTTTGGAATGTCATTTTCACCATTATGAAAACATTTTTTTTAAACTAATAAATATTAAATAAATTGTCGTGTGGTCCCAGTATAGAATGGGCCACACCTTCCTTTTCCATGAGTGTTGTAAGAGACGGACAATAGCGTACCTCTTAAAGCATTACCAAAAATTGACTGCTGTTGCCAACTCACCTGTCAAGCGTGGCAACTACTGGCAAAACTTTCTAGCGGGGGAAGGCCAATTTTCAGCAGTGGACGGTTAATGGCTGATGCTGAATTATCATTTCATATTATCATCAGATGATGATAAATATGAAATGATACACCA